GAGACAGAGAGTGAGAGGGACAGAGAAAGAGAGAGAGAGAGAGCGAGACAGAGAGCGAGAGCGAGAGCGAGACGCTCTCTCGAGAGCGAGAGCGAGAGCTAGCGAGCTTGGCACAAATCGTCTACAAGCCGTGCAGGAAAGGTTTCCGGTCGTCAGCAGTCGTCAGCTGGTGATGAGTGCGCTATATCAAGAAAAATCCTCCAAGGAGATATGCAGAGTCAGCTAAACAGCCGGGCGGCCCACAGATGTCCTAAAAGCTGCAACTCAACAGTCTGTGCTACTTTACAGGCACTTGCGAGCCTCCAGATGGAAACTGCTTGGCGATGGCTCATATTGATCTCTGCGGCCTGAGACAATTGCTGGCCACGGAGAAAGTCGTTTAGTGGTCATTCCTTGAGCTATGAGGCGGGATCGATCAAGGTGTAGCTGAAGCTTTTGGATGGTGCCCTGAATCCAGTGCACGTGAGACGGTGGCGATACCAGTACCGGCGGGTGGTGCAAAGCATCACTGCCCCACCTGCAGGACACGCAAGTGCGGGAGGATCCAAGAACTCCTGCGCAGGTATGAGGGGCAATGACGTACGCAGGCGAAAACTTTGAAGCTGCCTTCTTGGCAGGCCAAATGCAGCACATAGCCCGATGACAACGAACCGGCGCTGTATCATTGCAACCTCCAGAGTCCATGCATTTCTCGCAGGACATTCGCGCACCGATCTTTCTGTCGTGCAGACCTGTTGAACCTTCACAGAACAGCCTATACAGCCTGAGCAGATCAACCAATAAAACCGTAAAACCCCTTTGGCGGTGCTGCACCTCAAAAGTTCGCAACGAGTTGCATGCCTGGCGAGGAAACGTGACTGTAGCGAGAGTTGAACGTTGCCGCCTGGCCTCGCTGAACTTCTCCAGGAGAACAGGAAGGAGCAGCCTGCAGGCTTCATGGTTACGCGCATGGGCCGAGCTCAACCACCCGACCACTGGCACCTAGCTCCAGTGGTATCGCGCATGTAAACCTTGGGATTTCCGCGTGAAATGTACAGTTTCAGCAGTTTCTCTTCAGGTCAAGCAGCGGCTGCAAGCGCGAGGCCCATGCCTAAATCAACACCTCGGACCTGGCTTGAGATCAGTGCCGGCGTGCAATTTCGCTTGTAGCATCTTGTAGCTCAGTCCGCAGCTGACCTTTGCAGTTCCTCAGATGACTCGGATGTTTCAGTCCTCTTCCTTGACATCTCTACAGTGTCGTCGGATTATTCGGACAGCACCTTCCGTCACTACATCAAACAGCCCTGCATGTGCACTGCCACCACGGCCATCTGCGGCCGAAGGTCTCTGGGATTTTCCGCAAGGACGCGGCAACAGTGCAGGGCCTGAAAGCGTCTCCTGATCCGGAGCGCTCTGCAGCGCTTCACCATGCCAATGCTGTTCACTACGACGTAGAAACTCAGTCCCAAGCCAGTCAAGCAATGCTGCAGCTGTGACCGCAGCACTTAGCGATGCTCCATCCAGATGCGACACGCGTGCCGCTTCCTGCAGTGCAGCGGTGTCCGACTGCGACAAGCTCACAGATGCTCAAAGTAGCTGTCGTTTTGACCAAAACCAAACGTCTGCTTCAACGGAGGACGTATATTAAGCCAGGATGGACGACCGCCGAACAGTTAAAGTAACCAGCATTTCGACTGGCTTCAAGCGGCAAGTTCTGCCAAGTCTTACGTCTTACAAAGGCTCTTGATGACGCAGGGCAGATCTGCACGGACCAGTGCCAGGCGAATGCTAAAGAAGCAAGTGCAAGAACATTCGTCAGGAGGATCGATCTTGACAATTCAGGAAGCTTCGGTAGAGAGAGGTCTTACTGCAATGCACGGACACACGAGATTCATGATTTGGTAGAGCAATTGCCAGCAGCAGCACGACAGTAAGCGAGACCTCACCATGAGACGACCACGTACAGACGACAGGTGCCACAGTGCAGTTCCATCTCCACTTTCCAGCAGCACGGTCCTCAAAGAGTGGGAAGGCCTTCTCACAAAGCGCCTGCAGAAAAATGCAAGATTTCAACAAGTTGCAAGCAAGACGGCTGACTTTGCTGACTTTGGACTCAGACCACCTCATCGAGGAAACGGATCTTTGCACAGGAAAACAGGAAGACGGCAAGCTCGGAAAGGGAAAACTGCTCCAACCCTCGAGTCACTCTTTCAGAAAGCGCTGTGAAGAACTCGTCGTCCTCCAGCTGGTTGTCTGCATAGCACCGCGAAATGGTTGCTATCTGTAAGGGGCTGAACCTTTCCGTGGTGTCTTGGATTTGTTTGGCCATCATGAACAGCCAGAACTCATCCATTGGCAATGGTCCCGTGAGAGCTTCCACGAAGCAAGTCGTCTGTTCAGCTGTGAGCTCTGGAATTCGGGCACAAACAAAATGGGTAAAGAGATGCACAAGACGAGCGCCAAGAGGAAGCTCGGCTTCGTGATCAATGCTTTTGCCCTTCTGCTTTAGCGACCGTGCGTGCCGGCATTGGTCGAATATCCAGGCAACCTGAGCTACACTAAAAGCTTCTTGCTCGTGAAGTAGACTCACGTCTTGCCAGTGCTTGTTGAGGCCCGCAGCAATCCCATCTTTTCCAATCAGGTCCAAAAGCTGCTCTGGAGATGGCAGTGACGGGCCCGGATCACCAGCCTCGCTGGCTGAGGCCGAGCGCGCGGTGGCTTCAAAACTTGTTTCGGCGTGAGGTTGCTTCGGTGGCGACGGTGGTAACGGCGGCTTCGCATGAACTGCTGAGCCTGCTGAGGCCGGCGGTGTAGACAACGGCAGCGGCGGAGGTGGAGGTGGAGGTGGACGGATGGCCACAAGCTGATGGATGTGACGGGCAGGTCGCACGGCTGCAGCATCCAAGAGAGCATAGCGTAACCCACACAGGCATCGTGCCATACATGAAAAGGCAGTTAAGAATCTCAGACAAGACCATGAGCGCTTACTTAGTCGAGATGATTCTGGTACATGGATCTCTTCAGAAACGAGTCTAAGACAAGCTCGCACTTTTGCAGCGTCCGGGAGTGCATTGCAATGGTGCTTCCAGGCCGCCTGTGATGCTGAGATGAGCTGCAGAGATTTCACAAACCCTGAAGCGAAGCACGCAGTCGCACCGACCAAAGCTACTTGCTACCAGGAGTTTCCCTTCCAAGGCGGACCAGCCACTGGACGAGACTTGACATGGCAGCAACACAACATGTGCAAGTTTGGATCAAGCTTTCGGCCAGACCGGCATCAGAAGTCTTGCCCTCTAATAGGTTTGCAATGATGAGCAACAAGCACACGAGGCGAATTTGTCCAAAAAAGGGCTTCTCATACGCCTCTCGCTTGCATAAAGCAAGCCGGGTAAGGCCCTTGTGTTCGACAGGGTTTCTTGGATGGGGACATCCTCCAAAGGTTTGGGGAAGTTGAGGCTTGAGGCGTCCTGGCTACTGCGGACTCTGCACAGTGCTGCTGCACTGGGTACTGGACCTCCCCACTCGTTGAAACAAGGATTACACCCCAATAAACTATATGATGGAAACGATTCTCTCCGTCGCTCACCGGTTGATACGTAGCTAACATAGAAGCTTGCAACATGCGGTGCAAAAGAGAACCCTGGAAACCGTGATGAAGAACGCAGGCTTTCCCACCAGTCGACTTCAAGCAACGAGTGAAAGCAGAACTTACCACAGACTAGTCAAGTCACACCTGACTAGGCCAAACTCACGGACTCGATTCTCCGGGCATGTCGGTTTGGACAGACGTTTTTGGCTGGCTGCTACCGGCACTCTGAATAATTCTTGCACCTGCAAGCTTTCCGAAAGCAGCGATGAGCCGCTTGACAATATGACCACAGTACGGAGCAATGTGGGACATCAGACCCTTGGCAAGCACATCGCGCAAGAAACAATTTTTTCAGATGGACGTCAGCTCCGTCAGCCGAGCTCTTGATGGCTGCGACTTCTTCCTGGCACATGAATTGAACCACTGCTGCTTCTGTCTACTTCCTGTATTGCACTATGTGTGACGAAGTGCTTCGAAAGGCAGTAGTTTTCTTGTGTCGAGGACGACAAAGGGGTTCACAAAGCTCGCTCCAACTGAGTCTATCTGCTTCAATACGACTAGCATCTTCACAGCTACAGGACTCCACTCGTGAGGGTTTGGGGTTTAGGGCTCAGGGGCAGTACGAGTACAGTGTAACTGCCCCGTACAATTTTAGCGGTAAACACGCATTGAGTCCGGTACGGCAGAGGCTACGAGCCCGAAGGGTTTTTGGTCGCCAGGAGTTCACATCAAAGTCTTTTCCGTTGGATTCGAAGAAGTGGAGGTCTACAGATGCTGGAAAGCAACTTGGCCCAGGCAGGCTGCCCCCAAGATCCCGCTGTCGGGAAGGCTACTCGAGTGAGAACATGCTTCTTTTGCAGTGGAAACTTGCAGCGGAAGTTTGAAGTTCAAGCTTGCCGGCGGCTCCGCTTCCATTCCTGGAAGGACATGATGGAATCTTCCAAGTCCTCGTCGGCCTGCCAAATTGCATAGCACGATTGCCCACATGCAAGGTTGCTGAATCAATCACCAGACCTGTGCATGGAACGCTGGCACATCACGCCCCACCACTGCAGGGATGCCCGCCACCAGCGACTCTCTCACCTGATGCTGCAGAAACGCATGAGTAAAGGTACACGAAAGTCAAACGAGCCTGTACTTCGTCACAATCATTGGCTTTGGCCTGCATGCAGCATGTCAGGACGAAGTGCTCAGCCAATACAACACTTCGTCACCTGATGATCAACAAAGTGCATTCAATGTATTCGCTGGACATCGCTCCATGAAATCGGCGCCTGTAAGAAGCTGTCTGCCGTCCACAACGCGAAGACGTTGAGTATGAGCGGCATCAGCACCTGGCGGCAAGCAACACCTTTCAAAGTGGACAGAACCCTGCTTCTGAGATGTTGACGGACAATGGAATGAAAATCAGGGCGTGCGCACCATGACGACC